GATACAATAAATAAAATTAAGTAAGAAATTAATTTGTCTTGTAGCATATTTTATTATCAAAGCACAACTTATAATGTATTGTTGGTGTGATTCAATGAACACAAATAAAACTATTCGACCAGTAACTAAGTGAGGTAATTAAATCATTTTAATAGAAACTGCGTGGCAAGAAAATGCAATACAATTGCCAGTCTGGACTCCAGGGTGTTCCACAGAATTGCCAATACCCAGAGCACCCAGAAACTGTATAGCGGCCAATGGGAATTCACCTCAAATCCCATTTGGCCAAAGGACTCAAATTGACGTAGGTTCCAATCTCCACAGGCTGCATTTTAATGAAATGGACTGAGGGGCCAAGATACGACTTTCATCTAAGTGTCAGCTTCTGGAACCGACAGTTTGTCCATATGAAGAGGTAAGAAACTTCTGGGTGTGCTCTGGAGAGGTTTTTTAGGTGCTACAGAGATAGGCTCTATTGTTAAAAAGGAACGGAAATGAGTGACATTTTGAGGGCATACAAACAATAATATCTTTACTTGATATTTCTAAACTTAAATACCCAAATTCACATCATTTTCCTTAAAAGTAGGAAGAGAAATTCCTTCCATCCAGAAACATTTTTGTGGAATAAAATGATCGCTCCCCTATCAATTCCTTTTAACTCACTACACCTCACTCAAATATTTACACACATGCACACCCACACACGTGCTCAAACACCATCACCCCAAGAATGAGCAAATGCGCCCAGAGGTTAGCATTGATTTGTGCTGAAAACCAACTTTTCTGAGATAATTTCTCTACACTAACTAGACTTGTCGATTTGCTCGAGCAGCCCCAGTAACTAGACTTGTAAACAACCTTCCAATTTAGCAATAACCATAATCATACACTCGTATTGAGGAAAAATTACTGGTTATTGGCTTATTTCCCTATACTCTATAGAAACCACATTCATAACTAGTTACACATTTTGGATCATTAAATATATATATCATTGTTTTAAGAATGAACACTATTCCATTTTAGAAAAAAATGATTCAGAATCCTATTTTAGAGCCTTCTGAATCTCTGGTTATAATTATTCATCAATTTTAAAATTTCTCAATGATTTTGCTAGTGAAATAATTTTATTTTATTCAGTTATTTATTTATTTATTTGCTTTATGGGTCACACCTGGCGATGCACAGGGTTTACTCTTGGTTCTGCACTCAGGAATCACCTCTGGTGGGGCTCAGGGGACCATATGGGATGCTGGGAATCGAACCCGGGTCAGCCGCATGCAAGGCAAACGCCCTACTCGCTGTGCTATTGCTCCAGCCCCAAGTGAACTAACTTTAAATAGACAAAATATACTGTACTATCTTGTATGCTCAGGTGACATGCTCAATAATTAATAGCATTTGATAAATAACTTTGAAATAAATCTTTATAAACTACTCTATTTTTCGTCAGTGCAAATGACATTTCACAACTCAGATTTTTCAACTGAAAGACTAAATAATTATTTTTAAGTTTACTTCAGTAATATTCTTATTTTTTAACAAAACACTTTGGACGGGCTGTTTATTCAAGCTTTTAGACTGGAAAATTAGGTTTTCAGGACAATTTACATCATGCTTTATGTTTACTTCAGGGATTGTGAGCATATTGTTGTTTCTATATAGGTACTATCAATACACTTGATCACTTGACTTCCCGTTAATCATCGATTTGCTCGAGTGGGCACCAGTGACGTCTCCATATTTCCCTGTCGTGTGCTAGTGTAGCCCAATGGCTTCTGTTCGTTCTAGGAACACGAAGAGCCTCAAACCGATCGTTCAGGGTCTTGACGAAGAAATACACACTGTTTTGAAATAGTGATATTCTGGGCTCAGCAGGCTAAGCACAGGCTTTGCAGCAGGAAACTGGGGTCCCCCAGCACTGCAGAGATCAACGTCCGAGCACAGAGTTATGAGTCATCCCCAAATACTGCTGACGTACCACAAAAATAAAAATAACTAACAAAATAGAACTTTTTCTGGAGAAAAATAATGTTATTACCTGTAGATATTTTGGTTGCTGGCTGGTTTATTCATTTTAGAAATTCAGGGTTTGTCTTCACACCTCGTAGCCTCACCTCCTACCTTCCTTCCCTTTCTCTCAGGCAGTCACAGTTTTCCAGACTGTAAGGTTAGTTTTTCTGTTTGGTCCTTTGTTTCCACCTAAGAGGAAAACCGGCTACTAATTTTCTTTCACCTCAAGGAAAAATATTGAATGAGAGGAAAAGCATCAAGAACTTTCGCCCTCAAGCATGACAAAATTAGAAACCTGCTAGAATAGCCAATGTATGGTTATCGTGATGTGTAAATAGGAAGGCTGATGACAGCGAATAGAGTTTAGAAGCTTATTAACAAGCAGTACATTGAGCTCGATAACACTGTAAATGGAGAGGGCAGTTCCCAGCAGCTCCCAAGGGTCCTGCAGCCATTCTCAGTGCAAGCTGCTCCATTCTGGTGCCTGAAAGTGAGGTACTGCTGGACCTCCAGTGGCAGGGAGCAACTATGCCAGCCCAGAGTGCCCAGGGGCCAAAGGACTGAATTGTTTGTGGAGAAGCATGTGGTCCCAGTAACCTAACTGGTGTCGGGTACATGGAAGGCAAGCTCCCAGTGCTTCCTTTGTAGTTTTAATTTTATGTGCACATATCCACATATGGATGTATAGAGATTTGGTAGAGTGAGGGCAGGGAGAACCCAGTAAGTGTTATCATTAAAATCATTTCAACATAAAAATGTGTTGCAAGAAAACTCAATAGAATTGCAAGTTTGGACCCCAGGGTGTTGCACAGAATTGCCTACACCCAGAGCACCCAGAATCTCTATACCTGACAATGAGACTTCACACCTAACCCCAAATGGCCACAGGACAGAAATGGACTCATCTTTACTGTCCACGGACTGCATTTTATTGAAATGAACTGAATCGCAGAGATTTGAATTTCAACTAAATGTTGACTTCTGAGACTGACAGATTATCCATCCCTATGATCAGGTAAGAAATTTTTGGGTTGATCTGGTGAGTTTCCTTAGGTTCTAGAAAGAGAGGTGATATTGTAAAATGGAATGCAAATAAATGACAGATCTATGGGCATAAAAAGAATCATATCTGTACTTGAGAATTGCAAAATACAAATATTTACGTTATTTTAATAAAAAATAAGAATATAAACTTCTTCTATCCAGAAACGTTTTGTGGAATAAAATGATCAGATTCCTGTGGACATCCTTCCATTCCAGAAACAACTTTGTGGATTCATAAGATCCCTTCCATATCATTTACATTTAACTCCATACCTTCCACTCTTCATGGCACTCACAGCAGACTCAGCCCTGGAGATCAACAGTTTTTATTATTATTATTATTAATATTATTAGTTTAAAAGCCACACCTGTTGGTGCTCAGGCCTTACTCCTGGCTCTGAATTCAGGAATTACTCCTGTGGATCTAGGGGGATCTTATGGGATGCCGGGGAATGAACCCAGATTAGCCTCATGCAAGGCAAGTGCCCTCTCGGCTGTGATATCGCTCTGGCCTACCCGGCACTTTTACATCCTGGGACTTAACCACAATCACCTCACATCGTGCAGTTGAACCTCACTACTCCCTCTGCTCCAGCTACGGTGCCTGTCCTCTTGGTCCTGGGTGGGCACTGGCTGGCTGGATTCAGCGTCTTTGCTCACAAGTCTGCAGCCTCATCTCCTACCTTCCTTCCCTTTCTCTAGGGAATCACAGAGTTTTCCCAGAGTCTAAGGTTAGTTTTCCCCTCTGGTCCTTTGTTTCCACCTTACTGTAAAACCAGTTGGCAATCTTTTTGCATTCCAAGAAGAAAACTTGAGAAAGAAGAAAAAGCATTAGGAACGTTTGCCCTCAAGCATGACCAAATTAGAAACCTCCCACAAGAGCCACTGTGCTCTGTAGTGACAGGTAAATAGGGAGGCTTATGTCAGTGAATGGAGTGTAGAAGCTTATTTACAAGAGGTGTGAGGGATGAAGGGCACTTTGGAGGGAGAGGGCTGTTCACAGCAGCTCCCAAGAGACCTGCAACCATTCCCAGAGACTCTCACACACAGGGGCAGCTGCTCCATTCTAGGACCTCCGGGTCCATGCACCTATGGCCCTCCAGTACCAGGGAGCACTTTCTTCGTAGATTTATTTTTATGTGCACATATGTGCAGTTGTCTGTATATATGTTTGGTGTATTAAGGGCAGGAGAACCCAGCCACTGCTGATGGAACCCCTGGGCCACTCTCATGATATCCTGTAAAGCACAGTTATAGTTCAGAGCTAGGGCCCCAAAAGAGGTGCCCCTAGGATCATGTCATATGGGGATGAGAGATTCTGTCTGGCAGTGTTTGATGGCCCCCAGTGCTTGAGGGCTCACTGGCAATGCTCAGAAACCAACTGTTGCAAGGGATCAAATCTATGAGAAGGCAAAGTGATCCTTTGCATGCAGGAATCCCACGCTCTGGTCCTGCACAGCTGGTTCCCAGAAAGCCATGAGATCAGGGCAGGGAGTGGCTAGCAGCATCACTGGGAGTGGCCTAAAAATAAACTCTAGAAATTTCCAAAAATCACAAGTAAAAAACTAAGAAGGATACAAGGTCAGTTTCATCCACAACACATCACCTAACAACCCTTTACATATGTCCACGTCTCCTGCACTTTGATTTCTTTTCATCTTTGTCTGAGGATCCTCAATTGTTGTCTTTTGTAAAATTGAAATGGCAATGGTAAAATGCACAATATTCCATAACCAATATCTAGTCCCATCAAATAGCCAAAGTAACTAAATTTATTGAGATGTTTATCACTATGCAAAGCCTCTTCAAATTTGTAAGAAGTGCTGATTCTGATTTCTCACCCAAAATTCACAGTTCAGATTGATTTATCAAAAAAATTTCTATTCAACAGATTTCATCTTGTCTTGCAGTCAGCCACAATAAGAAAGAAGTCAAGGACTATGGATAACTTCACAATGAGTGGGTTTCTTCTCTTGGGATTTTCTGCCAAACCTGAACAAGAACTGTTTTATGCTTCTCTGTTCTTGGTCTTATACTTGTTGGCTTTAATCGGCAACATGCTCATCATCACCACGACTTCCCTGGATGACAGTCTCCAGTCCCCCATGTATTTCTTCCTGAAGCATCTCTCCTTGTTGGATCTCTGCTACATTTCCGTGACTGTACCAAGATACCTTTACAACTCTTTCATGCACAGTGGGAATATTTCCCTCTGGGAATGCATCGTGCAGTGCTTTGCTTTGATGACCTGTAGTTCGGCTGAGCTGTCCATGCTTACATTGATGTCCTATGACCGCTACGTGGCCATCTGCCTTCCTCTGCGCTATGACGTCATCATGGACGTCAGAACCTGTGTCCATGGGGTTGCCGGAGTCTGGGTCAGTGGGGCCATCTCTTCAGCCATGCATACGGCAGCTACTTTCTCCATCCACTTCTGTGGCCCCCGCGTCATTCACCAGTTCTTCTGTGATATCCCCCAGATCCTGAAACTCGCCTGCTCTAGTAAGTTTATGAGTGAAATTGACGTCACTATCTTTACAGCTTTGCTGTCATTTCTTTGTTTTATATTTATTGGATTATCCTACCTGCACATATTCTCTTCCGTGCTGAAGATGCCATCTGCTGAGGGCAGAGCCAAGGCCTTCTCCACTTGCCTCCCCCACCTTGCTGTCGTCATATTGTTTCTTTCTACTGGTGCCTTTGAGTATCTCAAGCCTCATTCTGAATCTCCAACTGCTTTGGACATGTTGCTCACTATCATGTATACGATAGTTCCCCCAGCGTTGAATCCAATGATCTACAGCCTGAGAAACAAAGCCATTAAGTTAGCTCTGAGAAAAGTGTTTCAAAGAAAAGAAGCACTTACTTCCTTTCATTCACTGTTGAGAGACAAGTTCAATATATAATTGCTAGTATTTATGGAGTTGATTGATAATTTTGTTTGTGTATGTGTGTTTGGGACACACCTGGTGGTACTATGAGCTTAGTCCTGACTCTATGTCCAGGGATCACTCCTGGTGGCCTAGAGGGACCATCTGCTGGGAATTGAATCAGCAGTCTGCAAGGCAAGAGCCCTACCTGTTAAATGTATTAGATTACATTTTATTTTAAGTGATGTTTTAAGATTGTTGAAACCGTTTTATATATGTGCAACCTGGAAAACTAAAATAAACTTATTTGGGGCTACAAAAGAGGATTTGTGAATATTTTAAGTACTATCCTACAAAATCAGTTTGAAAATAACGGAAATTTCACTATGTTTAAGACAACAACTCAATTTTTTCTAGCAATTTATGTGGCAATTATAGAAAAGAGGTAAATATAACATTCATAGCTCATTTTCCTAGTTTCGCTGGAGCTTAGACAATACATGATATCCAAGAATTGATTAGATCACTCTGATTCTACAATCACTAGCCGTTCAGAGCTCCATCAGTTTCTACAAATCACCCTAGCCTACAATTTGAAAAGCAAAGATTCCCTGAAAACATCACATAGGGCCATTTGCTTGCCTCGTCAGATTACTAGATTACTATGCATTCGTTCATAAGGAATAAATATTTAAATAACAAAATAATCTGGGGAGACACAAATATTAGGATTTTATTTTATATATTTATTTTTTAGGCATCATCAATGAAAATGTTGTTGATAAGATAGTCCTTGGTCAACAATGTTCCAAATTCCATATCACCATCTGTAAAAGCACAAAAATGAAAAGATTTGTCATTTAGAAAATTGTACCTGTGAAGGTATAGTATCGAAGGAATAATCTGATGTTTGGATACTTTTATATTCTATTTTAAATTTTTTATACTTTTATGCTATTATTTTGTCTTCTGAAATATAGTCTCCATGTTGTAAGCTTAATATAATATTAGACATTTGTTCTATATCTGTTCTATTTAAAAATTTTAAATTTAAATTTTTAATCGTTTTCCCTTTTCATGACATGTTCTAATTTAATGGATGTTATCATGTCACATGTATATAGTGACTCCTCACATTATATTTTTCAAACTTGTATCTCAATGATTTATTTTTCTTGCCTAATTGTTGTTGCAAGAATTTCTAAGAGTACACTGATTACAGATTGCTAAAAGAAATATTGTTGCTTTGTGCTGGGCTTAATCAGAAATCTTTAAATACTTTGCAATTATCTCTAGTAAAAGAACATGCTATTAGAACAAAATTCATTAAATATATGTGAGGTAAATATATCGAGAGCTGTTCGGCATATGAACCTAATAGAAGTCTGCAATTATTTAAAAACGGTGGCTAGTGGTGGTGGGAAATGGGCAGTGGTGGAGGGATGGGTATTTGATCATTGTATAATTGAAACCCAAGCACAAAAGTTTGTAAGTATACAACTGTACCTCATGGTGCCTCACTAATCACTTAATCACTTAACTTTCCGTTAGTCGTTGATTTGCTCAAGCGGGCACCAGTAACGTCTCCATTTGTCCCTGTTGCGTGCCAGTGTAGCCCAATGGCATCTGTTTGCTCTGGGAACATGAAGAGCCTCAAATCGATCGTTCATGATCTTGATGAAGGAGTCTGACCATCTGGTAGGTGTGCGGCCACGCGGTCTTTTGACATCCCGTGGGATCCAGTCGGTAACAGCTCTAGTCCAGCGGTCATCTTTAAATCTCATTACGTGACCAGCCCATCTGATTTTAGACACCTTGGCAAATGAGACAGCGTCCCTGATTCTTGATCGTCGATGGATGTCAGAACTCAGGATTCTTTCTCTCATTTGAGTGAAACGTGATATTCCAAGCGTAGCTCTTTCTATTCTTCTTTGGGAGACCTGAATAGCATTCTCATCTTGTTTGTGTAGGGCCCAGGTCTCTGAGGCATATGTTAATGCAGGAAGAACAGTGGAATCAAAGAGATGTGCCCAGAGCTGGAGGTTCTTCGTGCTCTTAGCTATTTCTTTGAAGTTCTTGAAGGCGTTCCAAGCCACTCTCTTCCTCCTGCGCAGCTCGGGTGCCAGGTCATTTGTCATGTTGACTTCTCAACCTAGGTACACATAGCTGTTGCATTCGGAGATGGAGTCTCACTAATAAAAATAATAAAAAATAGATAAATAAAAACAGTGGCAATAATTGTAAGGTCCCTAGAGACCCTGAGAAAAATTCCAGAGCTAAACTCTGCTAATTAGTAACTCTCCCTTTCCTGCCCTCTCCCTAGTAGAGCCTTAGCTGTGAAGCCCTTCCTTATTGGGATGTAAATTCTGAAACCATTTGTTGGCTCTTACTTATCTGTTACCTCTGCTAGTAACTTTTCCCTTATCTGCCCCACCAGAATGCAGGAGCCAGGAGCTGAGAATCAAAGGGACCCAGGTAAATATTGAAGATAACCGAATATCTGAGTTACCAGATACCCACTAGCCACAATGCCTATGTACATCAATGCTGATCTTTGAATCTATAGGCTAAGGAGTGATGTACTTTTAAATGGATTGGTTAAGAAAGTATATGTTGTTACAAATCTATTGGCTATGAAATGTGTGGGCTTTGCTGTAATGGCCAGTGAAGGCCTATATATATAAGATTCCTTTTGAAGAAGTTCGGGGTTTTGCCTGATGGTTCGGCTCAACCCTGGCTATCCAGTCTTACAATAAACCTTGCTTGCTGTTTGCAGTCTCTGGAGTCAAAATCCGCATCCTAACATAATAAGTAAAATAAAGGTAAATAAATGAAATACATCAAATTAAGAATGGTTTCTATGGCCGAAATATCCCATGGCTAAAAATTAAAAGATGCCCTATTGAATGTGGGAAAATATTTGTACACAACAATTCAGATAAAGGCTACTATCCATTACATATAAGGCTATTAAAATGCTCAACAGTAAAAGTACCAAAAACCCCATCAAAAAGAGGGGGAAAAGATTGACACATCCCTGAAAAAGATACACAGATGACCGACCCATGGATATTAAAAAATGCATATTGTCTTCTGGTATCAGGGAAATGTAAATAAACAAATAAATGACAGTGAGATAACATGTCACACCAGTGAGAATGGCATATATTAAAAAAAAAGATTGGAATAACCAGAAATGTGAAAAAGGAACCCTCGACATAGTTAATGTTATGGAAAGCATTATCAATATTTCTTAAAAAACTAATAATATACCTACAATATGTTGGAGAAATGCAACTTCTGGGCATCTACCCCACCCAACAACAAGTAAACATTAACATCATAAGTGAGAAGAACTATGTTCCTAGCAATGCTTAATACAATAGCCAGGACTTGGAATCAACCCAAATGTCCAGTGACAGAGGAATGGATATGGAAGTTATTATACAGATAATGCAATACTGTGTAGATATAAGAACAGGTGAAATATACAGTTGACTGCAATGTTGATGGAGTTGGAAGGTGTGTTAAGTGAATTAAGTCAAAGAGTAAATGGCAAATACCAGATGATCTCACTTATCTGTAGTATACAGAAATATAAGCTACGTTTGTAGAATCACATTGGATAGGATTGAACAGTGACAAATCCTTGGCCTTGCATTACAAAACTCAGATTATCAGAAAGTGTGAGAAAAGTGATGGAGTAGGAAAAGGCAGATTACAGGTCACATAGTTACAATGGTGGAGAATCTGGGATACTTTCCTTGGATACTTTGGTGGGATATAGTAACTTTGTACATCAATGCTCTAAACTTTAATATTATTATAACCATGTTACCAAATCTTTAATATAAAATATTAAGACTGGATAACTCTTTTACTAATAGACAGGAAACTTCATATTTACCTCATTTTTAAATAAAGACTATTACAAACGGGGTATTATCCTAAAATCAGATTATGAATTAAATTATTTATCGAGTCAATAAAATTAATTAAAGAAATTAATTTGCCTTGTAGGTATTCTGTAATCAAAACACAACTTATACAGTATTTACCATGTGATTCAATGAACACAAATAAAGCTGTACTTCCAGTTACTAGATGTGCTAATTAAATCACTTCAACAGAAAAATGCGTTGCAGGAAAACCCAATAGAATTGCAAGTTTGGACCCCAGGGTGTTGCTCAGAATTGCCTATACACAGAGAACCCAGAATCTCTGTGGCTGCAATGGGACTTCACCCCAAACCCCAGATGGCCAAAGGACTGAAAAGGAGTCATCTTTACTCTCCACAGGCCAATTTTATTGATATGAACTGAGTGGCAGAGATACGACTTTCATCTCAATGTCAACTTCTGAAACTGACAGATTATCCATCCCTATGATCAGGTAAGAAATTTCTGGGTTGCTCTGGCAGGTTTCCTTAGGTTCAAGAAAGGCTATATTGCAAAATGGAAAGCAAATAAATGACAGATTCTGAGGGCATAAAAAGAATCATCTTTACTTGAAAATTTTAAACTAAAATACAAAAATTCACATTATTTTAATTTAAAATAGAAATAGAAACTTCTTCCATCCAGAAACATTTTGTGGAATAAAATCATCATTTTCCTATCAATATCTTTAACTCGGTACCTTCCACTCAAATATACACACAGATGCCACTCACACACATGCTCAAACACTGTCACCCCAACAATGAGCAAATATGCCAAGAACTTAGCTTTGTTAAGTATTGGGGACACCTCCTATCAGATAATTTTGTTCCACCAATCTCAGACTTAAGCAAACTTATAATTCAGCAACAGATATAATCATACACTCACAGTAAGAAATGATTTCTTGTTATTTGTCTTATTTCCTTATGCTCTATACCAATTCCACTCCTATCTAGTCACATTTTTGAGATTCTCAGGTATATATAATATATAATCCTACTTACAAGAATAATCACGATTCCATTTCAAGAAAAAAAGGATTTAATGTCCTGTTTTCAGAGCCTTTTGAAATCTTTATATAAGTAATTGTTCATTAATTTTAGTGTTTCTCAATGGATTTTGCTAGTAACTCATTTTAAATAGACGTAATAATCTTCAGTACTGATTAGTTTGTGCCTTATTTTAAGTGTTATGTAGAATAGACCCAAAATAGATTTAACTATATAATTTTTTCCAGAGAACACACAGATTTTACTGTACCGTTCAGGTGACTTTCTCATTAACTAACAGTACTTGATAAACAAATTTGAAATAAATCTTTACAAACTATATTTGGTGGGTAAAAAATGATATTTCACAACATAAAAAATTTCAACTGAAAGCTTGAATAAGTTCAGTTTATTTCAGCAGCATTCTTATATTTTAACAATACACATTGTAAAGAGTGTTCTTTTGAGCTTTCAGACTGGGAAACTAGGTTTTCAGGACATGTGATATGGTACTTTGTGTTAACCACAGTGATTGTGAGCATATCATCGTGCCTGTATAGGTCATATCAATACAGTCTGTTTTGAAATTGTGTTTTTCTGGGGAGAATGAGACAACTCAGCAGGCTGAGCACTGGCTTTGCAGCAGGAAACTGGGCATCCCCCAAGCACTGCAGAGATCAACCTCCGAGCACAAAGTTATGAGTCTTCCCCGAGCACTGATGACATACCACAAAAATAAAAACAAATGACAAAATAAAGCATTTTTCCAGAGAAAAACATTTATTATTTGTTATTATCTGTTGACATTTTGGTTGTTTGGTGGTTTATATACTCTAGAAGTTCAGGATAAGAGTTTCACATCCTTTAGCCTTACCTCTAAGCTTCCTTCCCTTTCTTATGGGCAACCACAGTTTCCCCAGACTCTAAGGTTAGTTTTCCTGTTCTGTCTTTTGTTTCCATGTAAGAGGAAAATCAGCTACTAATTTTGTTTCACTCCAAGGAAAAATTTTGAAGAAGGTCAAAGCATCAGGAGCTTGTGCCCTGAGACCTCCCACAGAATAGCCACTGAGTGTTCCTAGTGATGTGTAAATAGGAAGGCTGATGACTATGAATAGAGTTTTGAAGCCTATTTACAAGCAGTGTTTTGGCTGAACAGCACTCTAGATGGAGAGGGAAGTTCCAGAAGTTCTCAAGGGGCCTGCAGCCATTAGCAGTGAGTCTAGCTCACAGGGGCTGGTGACTCCATGCTAGGGCCTGAGGGTGGGGTGCCGCTGGGCCCTCCAGAGCTAGGGAGCACTTATGCCAGCCAGGAGTGCCCAGGGACCTCAGGATCAGCAATACTGTGGGGGAGGCATGTGGTACCAAGGGCCTAACAAGGATCTGGTACATGCAAGGCAAACTCTCAGGTCTGGGCTGTACATATATTTTTATGTGAATGTGAATATGTTTGTTTTCATTTAGGGAGGGCAGAAACTACCCAGTGTGTGTTCGGGGGACCCCTGGGCCAATCCCATAATATGCTGCAAACGATGCTTCCAGTTCATATCTAAAGTCCAAGAGGAGGTGCCTCTAGGATCCTGTCACGCTGGAGGTGACTGGATTCAGTCTGGCAGTGCTGCTGGGCCTCCAGGGCTCACCTAGCAGTGCTCAGAAACCACCTGTTCCAAGGGATCAATTTCAGGATAAACTCAGTCGTGCTCTGCATTGAGAAATTCCATGCTCTGTTCCTGCACCACAGGTTCCCAGACATTCCTATGAGCTGGGAATATCCCCCAGCATCACTGGGAGAGGCCTAAAACCAAATAACACCCAAATTTCAAACTCTCCAGTAAAAAAAAAAAAACTATAGGTCAGGCTCAGCCAAAACATGAAACCTAACAATCCATTCTACTATGTGCCATCACCCTAGACTTTGATCCTTTTCATCTATGTCCTAGGAACCTATACTTTGGTTGTTTGGAAAATTGAAATGGCAATAACAAAACTTATAATTTCCCATAAACAATATGCAAATCTTCCACATAGATAATGTAACTATTTGCTTGAGATCATTATCACGATACAAAACTTCTTCAGATTTATAAGGAGGAATTTATGATGTCGACTTCTTACCCAAACATTCTGTTCAAGCAATGCAAAATAAATTATTTAGGTCCGTCTTTGGGGGCAGGCCTTGGGACTTGGGATAAAACTTTTGAAATATGTTGGTGGGAAAGTGTATTGAAGGTGATATTGGTGTTGGAATATTAAATGGAATAAATCATTGTGAACAACTTTATTAAAGTATAATAAAATATTTCTGCTCAACAGATTCCATCTTGTCCTTCAGTCAGACACAGCAAGAAATCAATAAGAATGGATAATTTCACGAGTGGATTTCTTCTCATAGGTTTTTCTGCTAAGCCCGAGCTAGAAATCTTTTATGCTTGTCTGTTGTTGGTCCTATACTTGTTGGCGTTAGCTGGCAACATGCTCATCATCACCACGACTTCCCTGGATGATAGTCTCCAGTCCCCCATGTATTTCTTCCTGAAGCATCTCTCCTTGTTGGATCTCTGCTATATTTCCGTGACTGTGCCAAGATTCGTTTACAACTCTTTCATGCACAGTGGGAATATTTCCCTCTGGGAATGCATCATGCAGGTATTTGCTTTGGTTTCCTGTGGTACTGCTGAAGTGTCCATGCTCACGTTGATGTCCTATGACCGCTATGTGGCCATCTGCCATCCCTTGCGCTATGAAATCATCATGGGTGTCAGAACCTGTGTCCATGGCATCATAGGCGTCTGGGTCAGTGGGACTATCTCTGGAGTCATGCATACAGCAACTACTTTCTCCATCCACTTCTGTGGTCCCCGTATCATTTACCAGTTCTTCTGTGATATCCCCCCGATCTTGAAACTCTCCTGCTCCAATGAGTATATCAGTGAGATCGGTGTCTCTGCCTTCTTGTCTTCAGTGGCACTTCTTTGTTCTGTCTTTATTGGGTTCTCCTACGTGCACATATTCTCTTCCGTGCTGAAGATGCCATCTGCTGAGGGCAGAGCCAAGGCCTTTTCCACATGCCTTCCACATCTCGCTGTTGTCATATTATTTTTTTCTACAGTTGCTTTTGATTATTTTAAACCTCTTTCAAAATCTCCATCTTCTTTGGACATTTTGCTCACTATTCTTTACACAGTGTTTCCCCCAACATTCAATCCAATCATCTATAGTCTGAGAAACAAAGCTATAAAGTTGGCCCTGAGAAAGATTTTTCAAAGAAGAAAAGAAAGATGTACTTCTATTCATTCTCTATTTGGAGACAAGTTCAATATATGTGGGTAAAATTAACGTGTGCTAGTTCACAGATAAATATTCATTTTAACTGATGTTTATGGTTGATGAAATCTCTGTGTGTGTGTGCTGCTGAAAAAAACATTCATACTTAGGGCTACTAAATAAAACTACTCTTGAGTTTTATTTTATAAGAGCACTTTGAATATTTTAAGTTTTACTTCACAAAACCGGAAGTGAAAATAGTGCAAAATACATAATGTTTAGGACATCAACTTAGTTTTGTTTCCCTGGTAATTTATATGGTAGTCATGGAAAATAGTGTATATGTGGTTCAGCGCTCATTTTCCTTTTTTACATACCTGATAGCGAAGATTGAGAAAACACTGATTCTTTGCATCATTAGTTATTCCAAACCCAGTAATCTTCTATTAACTTCCTGAGACTTCAATCACACATGCTGAAGTCACCTTGAAAAACTCCATATCCCATTTGCTTTGCATCTCCAGGTATATTGGGTTACTTTGCATTCACAGGAAACAAATATTTAAAGAAAAGTATAATTTGGGAGATCCAAAGAAATGCAGGTTTATAAATTTTATTGACTTATTTTTTATGCATCATGATTTACAGGTCATTTACAGGAGACTAGTGTCAGACCTACAACATCCCAGCTCTAATCCCACCACCAGTAAAACAATAATGCTGAAAGCTTTTGTCATTTAGAGAATAGTCTGTGCAGGTACAGTATGTAAGCGATAAAATGTTCAGATAATTTGATACGATATTTCAATTTATCATATTATTAAATGTCAATATTTTGTTTTCTGAAATATTCCTCAATGTTGCAACCTCTCCATAATAATAAATATTTACTACTTTTATTTAGATTTTAAATTTTATTTCCTTTTTTATTTTTTATATTTTGATAATAGAACTGATATTATTGTTTTATAAGATGCCCACCAGCAGGTGCCTCCACCCCTCCACCATTGTTGCAAGATCCCCTTCCCCACGCCTCCTACACAACTGTTCTCTTGACTTTATCTCAGGGCTGTATTCACTGGGAATTGTTCAGTTCTTTGCTTGTTTCCTTAACTCTGAAAATGAGTGAGATAATCAGGTGTTTGACTTCACTCTGTAAACTTTACCTCAATTCCTTCTGAGCTGAAGCAAGTTGCATGATTTCATTTTCACCCACAGTTGTGTGGTATTCCATTATGTACATATTCTGATAGTTGTTCATTCATCTGCCACTGGTCACTTGAGTTGTTTACATGTCTTGTATATTGAAAATGATGCTGAGTGAACATGGGTGTGGATATGTGCTTTCAGTTAAATATTTTCATGTTTTGAAGGTAAATATCTTGGGAGTTGCATGATCAAAAGGAAGCTCTATTCTTCATCTTTTAAGAAGCGTCAAAAATAAAAAACATTTTCCCATCAGGTAGAATCAAGAAATGGTCCCAGCAACTGTGAATAAGATATTTTGAAACATCCCCACCAGTATTATGTGCCTATTTTTATTCAAATGTCATACTGACTCAGTTCTTTTCGCTTTGCTGTTACTTTGAATTCAGGGGATATGAAATTTCCATTTGACATTGTTCTGCAGCTGCTGTTTATGGTTTTTGTGCTTTTAGTTTTGGGGGCATACCCCAAACCGTGATACTCAGGCTTTTTTTCTGGTTTTGTACCAGAGTAGTTCCTGGCAGTGCCCAAGGGGACATATGAAATACTGGGGTTCAAACCTTTGTAAGTGGCTTGCAATGCAAACACCTTCTCTCCTGTACTATGACTCTGGCTGGCATTTTTACAGGGTAGCATGGTAGCACGGTCCTCCCCTTGTTCATCGATTTGCTCGAGCAGACCCAGTAACGTCTCCATTGCAAGACTTGTGGTTGCTGTGTTTGGCATATCGAATACGTCACAGGTAGCTTGCCAGGCTTTGCCACGCAGGCAAGATACTCTTGGTAGCTTGTCGGCCACTCCGAGACAGGCAAAGGAATTTAACCTGGGTCGCTTGCAAGGCAAATGCCCTACTGCTTTGCTATTGCCCCAGGCATTTTTTACATATTCCAATAAAAATTGCCGAAAAGCTGAAAGTTTTCCCTTTAAGATTAGGCACAAGATATATAACATTTTCACTATCATTTAAAGTTGTATTGGACTTACACAGCACAGATATTTGACATTTAAAAATAGCTATGCTAAATCAAATTTGAAAGCCAGTTAGAGTCTCATTATTTGACTTAAATATCACTATGTCTACGGTAATATCTATGGAAAACACTAAATCCTCACTAAAAATCCTTTAGATACAATAAGCCAGCACAGTAAATTGATGAAGCAAAAATCAATATACAATAGAATGCTGAATTTTCCATGCAAATAACACATTAAAGAAGAAGCAAAATTAAAAACCACAGTTAAAATGGCATCCACAAATGAGGCACCTAGTAATCAGCTTAACAAAGGTGAAATGACTTATACACTAGCTTTCACCAAAGAAAATTTAAAAAGATGCAAGGAAATGTAATATATTTCTTTTTTTTATAATTTATTTATTTATTGAATCACTGTGGGAAAAGTTACAAAGCTTTCAGGTTTAGGTCTCAGTCATACAAATATCAAACACCTTTCCCTTTACCAATACTTATTTTTTACCACGAAGAACCCCAATTAAACCCCACCCCCACCCCACCCAATGCCTGCGAGGCAGATGAATTCTAGTTGACACTCTATCTGCTTTGATTAGATTCATTGTTGCAATAAAAGATGCACCACTATTATTTAGAGTTTACCCCCCCCCCCCCAAATCAGACATGCTGAGAAAGCATTGTGGAGTGATTCGCTTTCTACAGCTGGGTTCAAGAATTAAATGTTGGTTTTGGATTTCCGCGATTTTGCTAATTAACCCTGGAAGTATTTCTACGGAGAGTCAGATAATTAAGAGATTGGTTTCTGTGCTCTGGAGTCGTGGCGGTGCTGGAGAGCCGCTCGTGGGGGGCAACTGGTGGCCTCGGTAGGGCGTGAAGGACGGACTGGAATGCCCCCTTTCCCATGAGGTTTTAGTCACCCCCAGTCCCCCGGCTCACACCTGCTCTCCACAAGGCACCCATGTGGTCGCCATCTTCTTTCCAGAGAGGAGAGGGCGAATGGGGCAACATCCTTTCCTCTCCGGGCAGACATGATGGCCTGGATTAACGCATAGTCTGTTCACTTTTCTGCTCTAAGCTGCTGGGTTCTGCATTAAGTCCTTGTGCTTCTGGGGCTGTGGCCGTGCTGAAGAGCCGCTCGTAGGGGGCAACTGGTGACCTCGGTAGGGCGTGAAGGATGGACCGGAACGCCCCCCCTCCCATGAGGTTTTTGTCGCCCCCACACCCCCGGCTCACACCTGCTCTCCACAAGGCACCCATGTGGCTGCCATCTTCTTTCCAAAGAGGAGAGGGCGAATGGGGCAACACCCTTTCCCCTCTGGGCAGAAATGATGGCCTGGGTTAACTCATCGTTCGTTCACTTTTCTGCTCCAAACTGCTGGGTTCTGCATTAAGTCCTTGTGCTTCTGGGGCTGTGGCCGTGCTCCAAACTTAACTCTGATTTTCAGGGAGAAACGTTGGGTGGTTTACTTCCCATTGATCACTTTGTATAAACAGAGATGTCGCGCGGCCGTTTGGAGGAAGAGTCCTAGTTCCCGCATACTCGAGCTATGCTTGTGGAGGCTTCTGGTCACCTGGGTTCCATCTCGGGGAGGCGGGATGCGGCACCTACCCCATCTGGGACTTCCCGGTGATCTCGGCTCTTTCTGGAAGCTGGTGCCTTCTCCAGGAGCTGTGGAGCCAGCCCTCCATGTGGCCCTTCTCTGCGGCTGTATGCTGTAAAGATGGAAATGGAAAATATTTCTGTATTCATAGATTGAAAGAATTAACCTTGTACAAATAAATGGTCTACCTGAGGCATTAGAGGGACTTAATGCAAATACTTTTAGCACTAAAACCATGAGATCACACTACAACTCAATTAAAAATGTATCTGTCACAGGGAAGAAGGAAACTGGGGTCATTGATGAAGGGAAATTGACACTTTGTAAAAAGCTTTGCAAATCACAGTGGTTCAATAAAAATATTTTTTAATCAAAACAGCATTCTTCAATGAGACAGGACAAATGGTACTAAATATATCTGAAACCACAAACACCCCAGTATTCAAAGCAATACCAAGAAAAAAGATTTTTATGTTTTAACTCATGCTGTATCATCTCATTAAAACATTTTGAGTTTCTGGAGTGCACGATTCCTGCGGCTGCACATCTCAAAGAAAAAGCACATCTGAAAGAAAAGATTTTTATCTTTTCTTTTATTGATATGATGGATTATGTTGATTGATTTCCGAATGTTGAACCATCCTTGCATCCCCGGGATGAATCCCACTTGGTCATGATGTATGATCTTTTTGATGAGTTGTTGAATTCTATTTGCTAGTATTTTGTTCAGAATCTTTGCATCCGTGTTTATCAGGGATATCGGCCTGTAATTTTCTTTTCTTGTGGTGTCTTTGTTTCCTTTTGGTATTAGAAAGATATGGGCTTCATAGAAACTGTTTGGGAGAGCTTCTGTTTTTATCAATTTCCTGGAAAAGCTCGAGAAGGACTGGAAGTAGGTCCTCTTTAAATGTTTGGAAAAGTTTGCAAGGGAATCCATCAAATAGAACTTTTTCTGGAGAAAAACAGTGTTATTACCAGTGTTATTACCTGTAGACATTTTGGATGTTGGCTGATTTATTCACTTTAGAAATTCAGGGTTTGAGCTTCACACCCTGTAGCCTCACCTCCTACCTTCCTTCCCTTTCTCTCAGGCAATCACAGTTTTCCCAGACTATAAGGATAGTTTTCCTGTTTGGTCCTTTGTTTCCACCTAAGAGGAAAACCAGCTACTAATTTTTTTCACTCCAAGGAAAAATATTGAATGAGAGGAAAAGCATCAGGAACGTTCGCCCTCAAACATGACAAAATTAGAAACCTGCTAGAATAGCTAATCTGTGGTTGTCGTGATGTGTAAATAGGAAGGCTGATGACAGCGAATAGAGTTTCGAAGCTTATTAACGAGCAGAGCATTGAGCTGGATAACACTATAAATGGAGAGGGCATTTCACAGCATCCCCCAAGGGTCCTGCAGCCATTCTCAGTGCAAGTTGCTCCATTCTGGGGCCTGAAAGTGAGGTGCTGCTGGGCCCTCCAGTACCAGGGAGAACCTCTGCCAGCACCTCTGAGTGCCCAGGGGGCAAAGGACAGAATTGTTTGTGGAGAAGCTTGTGGTCCCAGGCACCTAATTGGTGTCAGGTACATGGAAGGCAAGCTCCCAGTATTTCCTTTGTAGTCTATTTTTATGTGCACATATCCACACATGGATGTATAGAGATTTGGTAGAGTGAGGGCAAGGAGAACCCAGTAAGTGTGATCATTAAAATTACTTCAACAGAAAAATGTGTTGCAAGAAAACGCAATAGAATTGCAAGTTTGGACCCCGGGGCGTTACACAGAATTGCCTATACCCAGAGCACCCAGAATCTCTGTGGCTGACAATGGGACTTCACACCTAACCCCAAATGGCCACAGGACAGAAATGGACTTATTTTTGCTCTCCACAAACTGCATTTTATTGAAATGAACTGAATAGCAGAGATATGAATTTCATCTAAATGTTGACTTCTGAGACTGACAGAATATCCATCCCTATGATCAGGAAAGATATTTCTGGGTTGATCCGGTGAGTTTCCTTAGGTTCTAGAAAGAGAGGCGATATTGTAAAATGGAATGCAAAAAATGACAGATCTATGGGCATAAAAAGAATCATATCTCTACTTGAGAATTGCAAAATACAAATATTTATGTTATTTTAATTAAAAATAAGAATAGAAACTTCTTCTATCCAGAAACATTTTGTGGAATAAAATGATCAGATTCCTATCAACATCCTTCCATTCCAGAAACATCCTTGTGGAGTCATATGATCCCTTCCCTATCATTTGCATTTAATTCCATACCTTCCACTCTTTATGGCAATCACAGTAGACTCAGTCCTGGAGATCAACAGTTTTTATTATTATTATTATTATTAAAAAAGGTAAAGGCCCGCCCGTTGATCATCGATTTGCTCGAGCGGGCGCAGTAACTTCTCCATTGGAGACTTTGTTGTTACTGTGTCTGGCATATCGGATACTCTCGGTAGCTTGCCGGGCTCTCCGAGAGGGGCGGAGGAATCGAACTCGCGTCGGCCATGTTGGCCGCTTGTAAGGCGAACGCCCTACCCACTGTGCTATCGCTCCAGCCATTATTATTATTATTATTATTATTATTATTATTAGTTTAAGAGCCACACCTGTTGGTGGTCAGGGCTCACTCCTGACTCTGAATTCAGGAATTATTCCTGTGGTGCTTGGTGGATGATACCGGGGAATGAACACAGATTAGCCTCATGCTAGGCAAGTGCCCTCCCGGTTGTGATATCGCTCTGGCCTTCTCGGCACTTTTACATCCTGGGACTTAACCACAATCACCTCACATCGTGCAGTTGAACCTCACTACTCCCTCTGGTACAGCTACAGTGCCTGTCCTCTTGGTCCTGGGTGGGCACTGGCTGGCTGGATTCAGCGTCTTTGCTCACAAGTCTGCAGCCTCATCTCCGACCTTCCTTCCCTTTCTCTAGGGAATCACAGTTTTCCCAGAGTCTGAGGTTAGTTTTCCCCTCTGGTCCTTTGTTTCCACCTTACTGTAAAAACAGCTGGTAATCTTTTTTCATTGCAAGAAAAAAACTTGAGAAAGAAGAAAAAGCATTAGGAACGTTTGCCCTCAAGCATGAACAAAGTAGAAAACTCCCACAAGAGCCACTGTGCTCTGTAGTGATGGGTAAATAGGGAGGCTTATGACAGTGAATGGAGTGTAGAAGCTTATTTACAAGAGGTGTGAGGGATGAAGGGCACTTTGGAGGGAGAGGGCTGTTCACAGCAGCTCTCGAGGGACCTACAACCATTACCAGAGACTCTCACACACAGGGGCAGCTGCTCCATTCTAGGGCCTGAAGGTCCGTGCAGATCTGGCTCTCCAGTACCAGGGAGCACTTTCTTCGTAGTTTCACTTTTATGTGCACATATGTGCAGATGTCTGTATATATGTTTGGTGTATTAAGGGCAGGAGAACCCAGCCACTGCTGATGGGACCCCTGGGCCACTCTCATGATATCCTGTAAAATACAGTTACAGTTCAGACCTAGGACCCCAAAAGAGGTGTTCCTAGGATCATGTCATGTGGGCATGAGAGATTCTGTCTGGCAGTGTTTGATGGCCCCCAGCGTTTGAGGTCTCACTGGCAATGCTCAGAAACCAACTGTTGCAAGGGATCAAATCATGAGGCGGCAAAGTGGTCTTTTGCATGGAGGAATCCCACGCTCTAGTCCTGCACAGCTGGTTCCCAGAAAGCCATGAGAACAGGGCGGGAAGTGGCTATTAGAATCACTGGGAGTGGCCTAAGAACAAAATCTCAAAATTTCCAAAAATCAAAAGTAAAAAACTGGCAGGCTACCGAATGTAACCTGCCCACACAGCAGAGTCTGGCAAACTCCCCATGGTGTACCCAATATGCCAAATACCAGTAACAATGATGGGTCTCATTCTCCTAACTCTGAAAGAGCCTTGAATGTGGCACTTTTTTAAAACGTCTCAGGGCTAGGATGAAGAAGACGTTACTGGGGCCTGCTCGAGGCTATCGACGAATAACAGGATGGTTGTGATTGTGATTGAAAAGTAAAAACATAAAAAGGATACAAGGTCAGTTTCAACCACAATACATCACCTAACAACCCTTTACATATGTCCAAATCTCCTGTACTATGATTTCTTTTCATCTTTGTCTACGGGTCCTCCAGTGTTACCATTTGTAAAATTGAAACGGCAATGGTAAAATGCTAAGATTCCATAACCAATATCTAGTCCCATCAAATAGCCAAAGTAACTAAATTTATTGAGATGGTTATCAGTATGCAAAGCCTCTTCACATTAATAAGAAGTGCTGATTCTGATTTCTCACCCAAAATTCACAGTTCAGATTGATTTATCAAAAAATTTTCTATTCGAAGGATTTCATATTGTCCTGCAGTCAGCCACAATAAGAAAGAGGTCAAGGACTATGGATAATTTCACAATGAATGGGTTTCTTCTCCTGGTTTTTTCTCCCAATTCTGAGCAAAAACTCTTTTATGCCTTTGTGTTCTTAGTTTTATACGTGTTGGCTTTAACTGGCAACATGCTCATCATCACCACGACTTACCTGGATGACAGTCTCCAGTCCCCCATGTATTTCTTCCTGAAGCATCTCTCTTTTGTTGGATCTCTGCTATATCTCCGTGACTGTGCCAAGATACGTTTACAACGCTTTCATGAACAGTGGGAATATTTCCCTCTGGGAATGCATCCTGCAGTGCTTTGCTTTGATGACCTGTAGTTCGGCTGAGCTGTCCATGCTTACATTGATGTCCTATGACCGCCATCTGCCTTCCTCTGCGCTATGATGTCATCATGGACGTCAGAACCTGTGTCCATGGAGTCATCGGCGTCTGGGTCAGTGGGGCCATCTCTTCAGCCATGCATACGGCAGCTACTTTCTCCATCCACTTCTGTGGCCCCCGCATCATTCACCAGTTCTTCTGTGATATCCCCCAGATCCTGAAACTCGCCTGCTCTAGTAAGTTTATGAGTGAAATTGACGTCACTATCTTTACAGCTTTGCTGTCATTTCTTTGTTTTATATTTATTGGATTATCCTACCTGCACATATTCTCTTCCGTGCTGAGGATGCCATCTGCGGAGGGCAGAGCCAAGGCCTTTTCCACTTGCCTTCCCCACCTTGCTGTCGTCATATTGTTCCTTTCTACTGGTGCCTTTGAGTATCTCAAGCCGCATTCTGAATCTCCAACTGCTTTGGACATGTTGCTCACTATCATGTATACGATAGTTCCCCCAGCGTTGAATCCAGTGATCTACAGCCTGAGAAACAAAGCCATAAAGTTAGCTCTGAGAAAAGTGTTTCAAAGAAAAGAAGCACTTACTTCCTTTCATTCACTGTTGAGAGACAAGTTCAATATATAATTGCTAATATTTATGGAGTTGATTGATAATTTTGTGTGTGTCTGTGTGTGTGTGTGTGTGTGTGTGTGTGTTTGGGACACACCTGGTGGTACTCTGAGCTTAGTCCTGACTCTATGTCCAGGGATCACTCCTGGTGGCCTAGGGGGACCATCTGCTGGGAATTGAATCAGCAGTCTGCAAGGCAAGAGCCCTACGTGTAAAATGTAATAGATTACATTTTATTTTATGTGATGTCTTAAGATTGTTGAAACCGTTTTATATATGTGCAACCTGGAAAACTAAAATAAACTTATTTGGGGCTACAAAAAAGGATTTGTGAATATTTTAAGTACTATCCTACACAATCAGTTTGAAAATAATGCAAATTTCACTATGTTTAAGACAACAACTCAATTTTTTCTAGCAATTTATGTGGCGATTATAGAAAAGAGGTAAATATAACATTCGTAGCTCATTTTCCTAGTTTCGCTTGAGTTTAAACAATATATGATATCCAAGAATTTATTAGATCACTCTGATTCTATAATCACTAGCCGTTCAGAGCTCCATCACTTTCCACCAATCACCCTAGCCTACACTTTGAAAAGCAAAGATTCCCTGAAAACATCACATTTGCCATTTGCTTGCCTCATCAGATTACTAGATTACTCTGCATTCGTTCATAAGGAATAAATATTTAAATAACAAAATAATCTGGAGAGACACAACTATTAGGATTTTATTTTACATATTTATATTTTAGGCATCATCAATGAAAATGTTATTGATAAGATAGTCCCTGATCAACAATGTTCCAAATTCCATATCACCATCTACAGAAGCACAATACTGAAAAGTTTTGTCATTTAGAAAATTGTACATGTGAAGGTATAGTGTCTAAGAAATAATTTGATATTTCGATACTTTTGTACTCTATTTTAATTTTATTCTATTATTATGCTATTATTTTGTCTTCTGAAATATAGTCTCCATGTTGTAAGCTTAATATAATATTAGACATTTATTCTACATCTATTCTATTTAAAATTTTAAATTTAAATTTTTAATCGCTTTCCCTTTTCATGACATGTTCTAATTTTTTATGTATGTTATCATGTCACATGTAAATAGTGACACTTCACATTATATTTTTCAAACTTGTATCTCAATGATTTATTTTTCTTGCCTAATTGTTGTTGCAAGAATTTCTAAGAATACACTGATTACAGATTGCTAAAAAAAATATTTTTGCATTGTGCTGGGCTTAATCGGAAATCTTTCAATATTTTGCAATTATCTCTAATAAAAGAACATGGTATTAGAACAAAATTCATGAAATATATGTCGGGTAAACATATTGAGAGCTGTTCGGCATATGAACCTAATAGAAGTCTGTGATTATTTGAAAACGGTGGCAAGTGGTGGTGGGAAATTGGCACTGGTGGAGGGATGGGTATTTGATCATTATATAATTGAAACCCAAGCACAAAAATTTGTAAGTCTACAACTGTACCTCATGGTGTCTCACTAATAAAAATAAAATTAAAAATAAAAATAAATAAAAATGGTGGCAATAATTGTAAGGTACCTAGGGACCTTGAGAAATATTCCAGAGCTAAACTCTGCTAATTAGTAACTCTCCCTTTCCTGCCCCCTCCCTAGTAGAGCCTTAGCTGTGAAGCCCTTCCTTATTGGGATGTAAATTCTGAAACCATTTGTTGGCCCTTCCTTATCTGTTACCTCTGTTAGTAACTTTTCCCTTATCTGCCTCCACCAGAATGCAGGAGCCAGGAGCTGAGAATCAAAGGGACCCGGGTAAATATAGAAGATAACCAAATGTCTGAGTTACCAGATACCCATTAGCCACAATGCCTATGTACATCAATGCTGATCTTTGAATCTATAGGTTAAGGAGTGATGTACTTTTAAATGGATTGGTTAAGAAAGTATATGTTGTTACAAATCTACTGGCTATGAAATGAGTGGGCTTTGCTGTAAGGGCCAGTGAAGGCCTATATAAGATCCCCTTTGAAGAAGTTCGGGGTCTTGCCTGATGGCTCGGCTCAACCCTGGCTAGCCAGTCTTACAATAAACCTTGCTTGCTGTTTGCAATCTCTGGAGTCTCTTTGTTGTTAAAGGGAGATCATGATCCGCGTCCTAACATAATAAGTAAAATAAAGGTAACTAAATGAAATACATCAAATTAAAAATAGTTTCTATGGCTGAAATATCCCATGGCTAAAAATTAAAAGACATCCTATTGAATGTGGGAAAATATTTGTACACAATAATTCAGATAAAGGCTATTATCCATTACATATAAGGCTGTTAAAATGCTCAACAGTAAAAGTACCAAAAATCCCATCAAAAGGGCGGGGGGGAAGATTGACACTTCCCTGAAGAAGACTCACAGATGACCAACCCACGGATATTAAAAAATGCATATTGTCTTCTGGTATCAGGGAAATGTAAATAAACAAACAAATGACAGTGAAATAACATGTCACACCACTGAGAATGGCATATATTAAAACAAAAAAAGATTGGTCATTCGAATAGGTACTGCCAGCGCCCAGGGCCAGGGACTCTTTCTGGGCAAGCGCAGCTAGCCTGATCCCCTAGAACAGCCGGTTTTCCCCCTGGATCTGCGCGGGACGGGGAACAGAGGCCCATTTCGCAGAAACAAAGCTGAACGGCTCCAGGCACTCTCCCCATTCGAACAGGTACTGCCCGGTGTCCAGCGCCAGGGGCCCTTTCCAGAGCTGCGGCCGCTATTGTGGCCCCAAATTATTCTTCCACTACATATCCCAAAGGAATAAGTTACCCTCTTAGATGGAACCTTCTCTAGGTTAGCTCAACCACTAGAAACACAATAACCAATAACTCGTTAAGCACATCTCAACTCACTCTGCATATCAAGCAGAATATAATAGTGAACGTGAAGGACTAAACCACACCTCTCACAATGGTAAAGCAAAGCAAAAGCCCACCAAACTTTCTTATTGAAGAGGCTAGCCCAGAAGACACCAACAGTACTGCAGTGTTAGACAACCTCTCTGACAAAGAATTCAGAAGAGAGCTACTAAGGATGCTTAGGGAACTAAAAGAAAAAATGGAAAGCAATGCCAATAAAAGACAAGAGGATTTGAAGGCAGAAATGAGGAAAATGCGAACGGAAATGTCAGACCTGAAAATCCTGGTGAGTGAATTGAAAAACTCAGTGGAAGGCCTCAGCAGCAGAGTAACAGCTGCTGAGAACAGAATCAGTGAGCTCAAAGATAAAATTCAGAGACTCTCCAGAAAAGAGCAGAAAATGTAAAAGAGACTCACAATTCGGGAACAGATGGCAAGAGAAGATAGTGATGAAGCCAAGAGGTGTAACATAAGAATTATTGGAGTCCCAGAGGGACAGGAAGAAAATCTTGATGAAGAAGAAACTGTCAAAGACATCATTGCTACAACGTTTCCAGAGCTGAAGAAAACTTGTGACCACATTCAGGAGGCCCGAAGGGTACCAGCTAGAAGAAATCCGAATAAAAATACACCAAGACACATCCTGATCAAAATGACCAAAACCTTAGACAGAGATAAAATTCTGAAAGCAGCAAGTTCGAAGAAAGAAATCTCTTACAAAGGAGCATCATTAAAATTCACAGCTGACTTTTCTGATGAAACCCTCATGGCCCAAAAACAGTGGTGGGATATAGTGAAAAAACTCAATGAAATAAATACCTCTCCAAAAATACTTTACCCAACGAGACTCTCAGTCATAACAGAAGGAACAACACACAGTTTCACAGACAAACAACAGCTCAAGAACTTCATAGACTCAAAACCATGGTTACAAGAACAACTAAATGGGCTACTTTAAGGCAAGACAGATCCCTCAAATACACAAAATTTCAACAGAACAATGGGACAAAAGCCCATAACAATAATCTCTCTCAATGTCAATGGGCTAAACACACCAATTAAAAGATACAGAGTGGCAGGATGGATTAGAAAATTGAACCCAACATTCTGCTGCCTGCAAGAAACACATCTCAATAGTCAAAGCAAACACAGACTCAGAGTCAAAGGCTGGAAAACAATCCTACAGGCAAACAGGTCCCATAAAAAAGCTGGGGTAGCCATCCTAATATCAGACCACATCGATTTCAGAGTGAAGAAGGTCACAAGAGACAGTGAAGGCCATTTCTTACTGATCAAAGGTTCTGTACAACAGGAAGAACTTGCAATACTAAATGTATATGTACCTACTGAGGGACCAGCAAAGTACTTAAAAAAAACTACTCATAGATTTGGAGAAAGACATGAATAGCAACACAATACTAGTGGGAGACTTCAACACCGCTTTATCACCTCTTGATAGATCAA